GATGCAATTAAGCATGGACAGAGAGGGGTAAAATTTCATCCCAGACCTCAAGGAAAAAAAGGAAGCCTGTGCAGCATGAGCAGCAGCTTTTACAAGTGTTGTTTTAGAGCACCCCGGAGGTCCATGAAGAAGGATCCCACAAAGAGGTGATACTCCCAACCGAGCAAATGCTTCAGAATGCCTTAATGGCCACTCAACAGCTTGTTGGATCTTTTTCTGTATCATAAATCAAGTAAACTAATTGTTTTACCCGGACATACCAAGATCCGGCCTGATAATGATTATTTGGTAGAATAAAATGCTCTTTATTTTGCAAGTAGAAGAATAAGTATAGTGATGTGACCAAATGAAGCCCAAGGCAACAAGTGCAAACCTTTATGTCTTTAAGTCCTCCAATATCCTCCCATGAAACCTTTGGAACTTCCACAACTACACCTCTTGTTATACTAGGACCAACAACAGACCTAGCATGCCTCCAGTCATCCATTGTTATGTTCCAAGAGCCATCTATTTGATTTGATTTTGACGATTGCCTAAATGCAGACATAAAAGCTTCGCGGCATAAAGCTTCCAAATCTGCACCAACATAACCATTGCAAGAAGCGGCAATCGTCCGCAGGTCAACATTGGGTTCCAATGGAAGCTTCTTTGTGTAAAGCTGCAATGCATCAACACTAAGATCACTCGCCAGCAATTCCAAAAACCTTAAACAGTATTATATTTGTTATTCATGTAGAGGATAGATTTATTTGACAACCTAGTTACAATAAGGCCAACAATAAATAGTTTTCTCTTTACCGGTGAATCTTTCTGCAGTAATAACCTGGACAATGATAAGGCCTACAATAAATATATTTCTCTTTACCCATGAATTCTTTTATTAGTCTTTTTTGTAAATATTAGAGCTTCATATGGAATCGGAAGTCTTCATTTTTTTCTGTATTATCCACAGGTTCATGCGGTATCTTTCCTTGCAATTTGAACATTTTCTCGCCATTCTGATCAAAATAATTCAACAAACACCTCAAAAATATAGACTCAAAGTTGCACACTTTACATTGAGGATATGAAAGCGTTCATCTTCATTAGGGGTTGTGACTTCAATCTCAGCATCAAAACGCCCAGACCTTCTCAGAGCCGGATCGATTGAATCCACTCTGAACATACATCACATGACCCTAACGTTAATCCTAAGTAACACTTGAAAGTAACAAATGTACAAAATTTAAAGAATACAACAAATTAGATATACACAACTGATACACAAATTATGGTTGGTGTATACAATTCACGGAGATCATAGCATGGTCTTAAGAATCCAAATGCTTGTTAGACTCAACAGGAGATGCTTTATCCCCCGTCATAATGGAGAGAATTAATATTACTCTATTATAATAGAAAATGAAGAATACCATCCCCCAACCCATCATGATCCCAACATATAAAGGTTGGCTTTCTCTGGTTGGGACCAAGAGGCAATCATGGCACATCACCATCTTCATTGTACAAATGGTGGTACCCCCAAAAGCAACAATACCAAATTAGTGATCACCTTTAATAATGAAATAGAGCACATCTACAAGTTTTAGAAAATCTAACAAGAGGATGATGTGATATCTGAGTGATTTTTTTTTTAAAAAAATGAGTGAATTCCCAAAACGGTCCTTTTTAATAAGGTGTTTTCCCAAATTAGTCCTCAATAAGCAATAATTACCAATACGGTCCTTTGTAATTGAGATGTATTCCATCATTTAAACTATGAATAAGTCCTCAAAATGGTCCTTTCAAATTAAGTGGGTGACTGCTTGAAGAATGGACCACCCCGAGTAGGCTCATGGACTCTATTTCGGGAAAACATTCACTTTTGAAATTATTGGTTTGGAAAAATACTTAATTATAAAGGAGCATTTCGAGAACATACTTTAAGTCTAGATGACAGAAAATACCAAAATACCCCTTTTTTACTAGCATTTAATAGACATTTTTGGCGGAGGACTATTAAGGGAATAAATCTCAATTACGAAGGACCATGTTGATAATTATTGCTTATTGAGGACTAATTTCGGAAAACACCTTATTAGAAAAGACTGTTTTGGGAATTCACTCTAATTACAGCCATTGGTTGCTCGACTTGGTTCAGACAACCTCAGCCGTGAACGATATTTGATTACTCAAGCATTAAAAAAATATGGAGTAGAATTTAAAAAAAAATATCAGTACTTCATTACGATATGATGCAAGCTGACTAGTTTGTTAACAAGAAAAGCGTATCCAAATTCATCAATACATAAACGGAAAACGATAATTTACTCCCTTGAAGTATTACTTGAACCTACCTATTAGTTGCTGCTACAACTACTACATGTACTCCAGATGCTGAAAATGACTTATTGGAGTCCATCAACATAAATAGTTGAGACGCTATACGAACATCTTGTTCCCTTCTGCAAGGCAGACTCAACAAGAGAGTTGAAAACTTATATCAGAAATTTATAACAAACAAATACATAGAGACAACTCTCAGTTATAAAGCTTTCAAATAAAGTAAAGAACAATGTAGGAGAAAAATGAAGTACTAATCTAATTGATCACCTAGAAACACGACGAGGGCAAAGCACATCAATTTCATCTATGAAGATAACTGATGGTTTCCCAAGCTTTGCTTGAGATGATGCTTTTGCAAATGTTTCCCGCAAAATTTTCTCGCTTTCTCCAGCATATGCACTGTGAACACTGTGTGGGCTTCGAAACAAAGAAACATCAAAACAACCATATCATTCTCCCAAACAAACTGTTGGGTGTTGAGATTCTTCGTAGCAATGTAATTTTATAACAATCTCCACAGTAACACCATGATGAGCTGATGCAGTAAAAAGCTAAAAACATTTGAACGTTTTCAGAGTAACCAAATGCTTCTACAATTACATACTAGGTACCCTTATACAGAAATCAGTGCAAATCAAATCCACTTCATTTAATAACATGGATTGTAAGGCAGTAATTTTACTGCATAGTAAAGAACTAAAATCCCAGACATGGCTGGAAAAAACATCAGAAATTAAAGTACTCCGTACCTAACAACAGTCAAATGCGCTCCACATTCTTGAACAACAGCTCGAACCAAACTTGTCTGCAATTCGTAATAATTACCGAAACATTAATTTCAAAATAGATCCTTTTTTTGGCAGTTCAAATGGCATCAAGTTAAATTCTTAGGAGTAGATTACAGCAGACACGCAAGTGAAAAATGGCATACCTTACCAGTACCAGGTGGACCATATAGCAACAAACCACGAGGCCACTATATGAAGAGAATAGAAGAAAACCACTGATTAATGTAAGTCTCTAGGCATTACTGTCGGGGGAAGTATACATATAGAGTGATATAATTGCATCCAAATTACTTTGAGTCCAAGTTTTTTAGACTCTTGAGAATAGAGGAGCGGATACATGATGAGTTCCCTCAGGGTACGGATGGCCTCTGCATTCCCAGCAACGGCTTCCTCCGCCGTCCACTCTCTGACGCCTGGCTCAATTCCGCCGCCGCTGTCCATTAGAATATTTTATTGGGTGTTCCTGGACCGTTTTCTTCAGATTAGGTTACGAAGTTGTCAACTTCTATGACTACAAGGATTGGCAATTGAAGAATTTCACTAGAAATTGCGAGTTCTAAGTGAAGCAACGAATTCAAGGTGCTAAAATCGATAGTCTACGACTTTAGGCGGACTGAAGAACAATCGACAATCTCGCCGTCGCCGGTTCCCCTGGGCGTAGTGCTCTCTCAGTCTTCCCCAAAGTGTTTCTGCAACTTGAGTGGACTGGGGAGGGAGTTGGGTATTAGCTTTCGTCCTATTCGGGCCGGATACATTTTCTCAATACCTACAATGCATCAAATTCAGGTTCGGCCCATTCTGATTTTTTAAAAAAAAAAACTTCATATCGAACATTATCGGTATATAATGGGATCAACGTTAGCGTTTTAAAAAAATAACTGATGTTAGCTTAACTCTAATCAGAAACATTTACACTAATCAAAAAAGCTAACACTATTCGAAAACATTATTCGCAAACAAGGTCAATATTGAGTACTTTGTGGTTTAGCCGCTAAAGGCTACCCTCCCAAATAATAGATTATCAATTTGCCCTCTCAGTGTGGATAATAACTCTTTATACGAGTTAGTACAACATTTTGACAAAGAAATTAAATGGATAAATTGATCCTTATAAATGGATAAATTCACCCCTATAAATGTAAAAAAGGAAAAGAAACATGTGAATTTAATTAAGGATAAAATTGTCCATCAATATTAGGGGTGGGTTCGGTTTTTACCTAAAACCAAAGACGGAACGGAAGGCATTTTGGCGGTATGGTTCGGTTCGGTTTTGTAAAAAAAAGAGAAGACCAATCGTTATACGGTTCAGTTTTTAGCTGTTTAAATTTCGGTTTTTTTCAATTCTTTCAATTTTTAAAAAAATTAATTTAAAAGTAAAATAATATTTTAGGTAGAGACCTATTATTATATAGATATGCCAAACAATTAGTAGAGAGTAAAGTTTGTAAACCTACAAATAAAAATATAAATAAACTACAATTATTAATAAAAAAAACAAGTCCATTTCTCCAACCATTACAGCCAGAATGCAACAACACATACTACATCTTTTTTGTTTCTCATCCTCAATAAGAGTTGATTTCCTTTTCCCCATCAAAAAAAATAAAAACAAAATAAAGAGCAAGTGATACTTTCTATTTCCCGTAATAAACATATGCTCAAAAATTAGTCATGAGAGTTATAGAGAAGAAATAGGAGAATTTGGAAACCAAAAAAATTACAGTCTTCAAAAACATTTACTAAAATATGAGAGTTATAGTTTATAGAGAAGAAATAGGAGATCAGGAAGCCAACAAATTTAGTCTGGGAAACTTCCATTGCTAGGTATGGGAAACATTTACGGTCTAGGAAAAATTTACAGTCTGGGAAAAATTTATACTCATGGAAACAATTTACAGTCTAGGAAACTTCAGTTGCTAGAATCATTTGATAAAAAAAATCAAAGAACATATGATTTCATACCTTCTTGGGTTAGATGCTTCAATCTTGGAGAAAAATTGAAGATTCTCGTCACTAACTTCTGTGCTTGAAGAAGAAACCAATAGGCCGAATTGGTTTCTCGGAAGTGTTGGACGGCGCTTGAATACTAAGGTTAATAGGCAGATTGCGCTTGAAGAAGAAACCAATAGGCCGAAGTAATCAGTTGGACTGCGTCTGCGAATTCAATAGGCCGAAGTAATCTGTGTCTGCGTTTGGAAAATTCCTAAGCGACGGCGCTTGAAGTAATCTGTTGGACTGCGTCTGCAAATCTGCCGTAACTCGAATTGGTTTCTCGGAAGTGTTGGACGGCGCCGTAACGCGAATTGGTTTCTCGGAACTCGGAAGTGTTGGACGGCGCTGGAAGCCTGGTACGCAAATCTGCGATTGAGGAAGTGATGGACTGCGTCTGCTAATCTGCGTCTACGAATGAAACAAGCATAAATCCGTAAACCTAAAAGCATAAATCCAAACTGATCCAATCTGATTGGATCTGATCTGATTGGATCTGATCTGATCTGGTCTGATCTGATTAATTATGATTTAATTTAAAATTTCAAATCAATAATTTAATTTGACTTTATAATAACGTTTGAAAATTGTAATGATAATTCATATTATAATATAATCAATATTTTTTATTTAATGATTATTTTTTAATAAAATAAAAATAGTTAATTCATATATTAGAATAATCATTCATATTATAATGTAATAATATTTTTTATTTTATGATAATTTTTTTGTAAAATTAGAATTATACATTAGAATAAATATTTAATTTAGATATACATTTAAAAGTAATTAAATTTAGATAATCAATATATAGAAAAGATAGTATTTTTATTAAAATATCTCATCCTTATAAAAGATCAAAAGTTTAGAAACTCAAATTACAAGTAGCAATAAAAATATATTTTAATAGTAGAATTAGATTGACATTGTCAATGTATTTTAAAACTAATTTTTCCGACGTCTAATAATTAAGGATTACTTTCTCAGCTTTTTATTTAACCTATTTCTAAAGTTTATTCTTTTTCATTTTTAAGAACAATAATAATAATAATAATAATAAAATAATAATAATAATAATAATAATAATTCTTGATGAGATCTTATTTTAATAAGTTCTGATCTGATCTGATTGGATCTGATCTGATCTGATTGGATCTGATCTGATTCGATCTGATCTGATCTGATCTGATTCGATCTGATCTGATCTGATCTGGTTTGATCTGATCTGATTTTAATAAGAATAAGAAAAAATAAGTTGAACGGAACGGGGCCTAAGTACCATTAGGTTTTTAGCAGTTCGGTTCGGTTTTAAATAGCCAAAACCGCAACCGAAACCGAATGCAATCGGTTCGGTTTGGTTTTTGGAGTTCAATTTCGGTTTTTGCGGTGCAGTTTTTTTGTATTGTTCGATCGATTTCGATTCGGTTTTTGGTTTTTGGTTTTTTCGGACCCACCACTAATCAATATCAATACTTTATTTAAAAGCAATAAAAATATTGACCTCATTTTCCCGTTCATTTACTTTTGCTTATATATGGTAAGTGTGCTTTTATGGTAATATATAAATTTATTATATTTATATGTGTATAATGAAAATGATAAAATAATAAAGTCAAAGTAATAGTCCTTATTCTTTAACATAAAAAATAATATAGAAATGCTACGGAGTAATATTTTTTTGCACCATCTATAATGGTAATCTATAAATGGTAACTTATACTACCTCCGTTTCTCAAAAGAGTTCCTCTTTTGACTTTAGGGGAAAATAAGGAAGTGTTAAATTATAGTTGACTTTCCAATTTTGCCCTTGATGTGATGGATAAAAGTAAGATGTGATAGTTTAGTTGTTAGTAAAAAAATATGATGTGATAGGTAGGGTATGAAAAAGTAGGGGTAAAAGTGGTTTTTTAATAGAAAAGGGAAGTGTTTTAAGAAAAACAAAAAAAATGAAAGAGGAAGGGTTTTGAGAAACGGAGGGAGTATTATAATATTCCGTATTATGCATAAAAGAAAAAAAGGACATCTGATTTTGAGATTATAAAATAAATGTTGTTATTTTTTTCAACATTAGCATTGCATGTTCCAAGGTGGAAACGATAAAATTTTTATGTTCAAAGAGAAATAGATTTACGAAATATTAAATTCAAAGTTCAACACAATTTCTAACATTAATATATAAACCAAAATTTTTTTAAATTTAAATAAAAAATAAAAAATAGTCAATGAGATGAAAATGTGAAGTGCGATGATGATGATGATATTATTATTATTATTATTAATATTAATAACAACAACATTTTTATTAGTACCGATATCAATATTAATACTTTATTTAAAAGCAGAGGAGCTATTGCCAGATTTTCCTGCCCATAGCTATGCATCAATGTATGGAAATATTGTATTACATATAAAAATATTATATTCATTATGTATGGATATTTACGTTATATGTGTTGTGTGCGTTACACATAGAAATATTCATTTTATTATACATGAATATTTTTGTTATATATTTTGTGTGCATTATATATGAAAATATTTTGTGTGGATTTAATATAGATATGTTCATTATAATTTATGGAAATAACAATATTATTGTTATGGAACGAAAAATATAATGGAAATAATCATATTATGAAAATAATAATATAATAAAGAAAACATTTTCAGGTATTCACACTCATATATTAGAGACAACAATTCTATACACACACACGTTCACCATTTAATAAAATAGAGACAATATCTTCACACACACACATGTGTGTGTTAGGGTTCATTATTATTTATGAAAATAATAGTTTTATTAGCGAAAATATAATGGGACGAAAATTATATTTTACTTAAAAATGATATAAATATGGAACGAAAAATAATGGGATGAGAATAATATTTTACTTTAAAAATGATATATATATATATGTGTGTGTGTGTGGAACAAACATATAGTGGAAATAATACTAGGAAAATGATAGTATAATAGAGACCACATTTCCATATATATGTGTTCATAAATATGCTAGAGACAGGATTTCCACAGACACATATACGTGTGTTATTATTTATGGAAATAATAGTATTATAGAACGAAAATATAATGGAATGAAAACAACATTTTAATTTAAAAATGATACAAATATGGAATGAAAATATAATGAAGATGGGTATTCATAATAATATATACTATTACATTCCATTTCTGTTTTTAGTTTCCTTTGGTCTATAATGAGTTTGTTAGTATAATACAAAAAAATTATAATAGTATTATTATTTTTAATAATATAATAGTAATAATAATATTAATAGTATTATTATATATAGAAATTTTACAATACATAAAAATTACCATACCTAAAATTTAACTATGTTTAGAAACATAATTTTTTGTTATAACAGTTATATATATTGTGTGTTATATGTTAATATAATAGAGAGAAAATTTCAATACATATACGTTCATTATTATTTAGAGAAATAATAATATGGAAATAATAATATTTTAGAATGAAAATATAATGGGACAAAAATAATATTTTACTTTAAAATAGATACAAAATTTCGTTTTAAATTCATATAAATATAAATTTGTAAATATGAAAAGATATAAATATGAATTCATAAGGGTGGTAATAATAATAATAATAATAATAATAATATATTCATATATTCAAATAAAAGAAATAAATAATAGTTAAGTTAACGAGAATATAAAGTCGCGTAATAATAATAATAATATATACTTTTATATTTTGTTTCCTTTTCGGTCCCTTTGGTCTATAAAAACAGTTTCTCCTCCCATTGATCAAGACAACGATTTTCCAGATATTATCATAAGAATAGTATATTGTTCTTACTTTTTCTACGAATACCCATATACAAACATGTGGGTGTCTTCGTCTCTCCAAAAAATAACCAAATTTGCTCGACTTAGATGATTAAATTAAGGACTATAAGAATTTATTCCATTCTCTTAAATTTTTTAAAAATCACAATCTCTCAGCTTTTTTGGAAAGTAGAATGAAGAGATTTTTTTAAAATAAAAGTTTCCATCAATTTTTTTTTAAAAAAAAAACTCTCTTTTTTGTTTAAAGAAAAAAAGTGAGTGACACAATATACTGCTTAATCTTAATTCTCTAACCAATGTCCCTTTATACTACTTCTTCTGTTTCACAAAACACTTACGCCCTAATTCTTTAAAAAAAAAATCTATTTTTGTGCACGCCTTAAAATACTTTTATCCTACCTAAAGTGTCTAAAATACTCCTAAAACAACTTCTACTTGCAATAAACTACATAATGAATTTTATTTTAGATATTTTAGGTGGGGGTAGAAGTGTTTAATGAAGTGCGCAAAAAATAAGGCGAAAGTGTTTTGTGAAACAAGAGGGAATAGTACTCAATATTAATTTTTTTAATACATTGAACTTTTTTTAATCAATATACATCTCACTCTAAATTAAATTGAAAATAAATCCAATTAACTATGTAGTTACTAGAGCTTTCATAATTTTCCAGTCCCTCTTCTTCTTTTTCTTTTTGCACAAAAACCCAACTTTCATTACTCAACAACTCATAATTGTTTACAAAACCAAGAACGAATCATATCAACTTTTACATTGTTTTTCTATATGAAAAATAGCTAGTGATATAAGAATTGACATGCTTTTCAATTTCCTCTGTTGTGCATCTTTGTTGATGAACCACCTTGTTTCTTGCCCTCCAAATGCCATAAATAGCCGCTGCCCAAATGGCTAAGATTATTGTTTTCCTCTTCTGTTCTTTAATCTTCAGCATTGCTTCTTCAAGATCCGCTTCTTTAGCCATCTGGAGATGGATATCATACCTTCAAAAGCTGGATTTGTAAAATTTTTTGTGCAAACACATACTCCAAAAATAAATGGTAATCGGTTTCTTCTTTTCCATCACATAATGAGCACATGGTATTGATTGGGAGGTATTTCTTTAATCTGGCTTTGGTTTGGAGCCTCCCTTTTATGAGTAACCGTGTAATGTATTGAAATTTTGGAGGGGCAAGCTTGTTCCAAACTCATTTATGCCAATTTGGTTTGACCCCAACTCCTTGGAGCCATTTGTACCCATCTTTCACATTGTATTTCTTTTCTGTTGGCATACTCCTGAATTCATCCCTAACTCTCATCATCTTCATCCAATAATGACAAGAGTTTGGTTTGGTATGTATTCCTAGAGCCTTGCTCTTTTGATGTACCTATTATGAATCTACTTTACCCACAGTATACCTTTTTTATCAGCAATATCTCAATTCTGTTCCATTATGGCTGCTTTGTTCCAGTTGTTTGCATTTTTTATCCCCCATCCCTCCATATTTCTTTGCTTGACATATTTCTCTCCATCTGACTAAAGGCACTTT